TAAAACAATTTTATACATATATTTTATATTTTAGCAAAGATTCAACAATTCATGAAATGTGGTACAAAAAATGGAAAAAAGAACTTTCAAGTAAGAATAACATATCTATCATCGTAATGTATAACAAAAAAATTTCCTTATAATACACATTTTTTAAATTAATCTAGTTCAGACCAACGAGATGATATTACTAGAGGATTCTGATTTGCATGCAGTTATTAGCTACTTAAAGATAATAGAACACTCTCATGTAAATAAAATTTGGATTCAGATATCAATTAAGCATAAATTTGAAATGCTTATGAAAAAACATTTTCGTTTGAAAGACTTCTCCATTCAGATATTTCGATCATTTGAACACTTATCATCCCATACATCATGTAATATAAATGTAACTTCTATATGGTCAGAAAATATAGCATGTGCAAAAAAGCTAGCAACAGAATTAAATGTTTGTATACTATTTAAATTTAAATGATACGATATTAGCAATATTATATATTAAGTATCATAGAAATATTAAAATAATTTCTGCTTTAATTTCAGAGAAATATTGTATTCATAAATACGCATCTGAATTTTTTTGGTGGTATTATGTTTTTACCTTATCTAAAAATAGTAAACCGAACAATATTGACATCAAATTTTAACAATACTCCAATACAATCGAATATATTTGCATATAGAGAGAATTTCTTACATATTTCTGATAAAGAAATAGAAATTTTTAATCTGTTTTATGATGGCACATGGCATAAACCCGTGAATAATACTTATTGGGAATGTAATAACAGAATGTGGGCAAATGCAACAAGGTACAAATGTGCTCATTTTTTTTTAATCTTAATTTTCTTCCTTAGTTTTGAGTTTAACAAGTCTCAATAAAATTTATATATTAAATTTGTAATCGATTTATCTATCGTAGCGAAGATATTAAGATGTGTTTAGATTCAGCTATCCGAGGATTCAGAACTTGGGCAGTTATGACATTTGATACCAGACAGACTATTTTACATAAAATAATAGATGAACTACGATTAAATTCGTTAAGTTAAAATTATTAAAATTTTCTACATCTTTATATCTTATCTTTTTTGAATAATTTTTAAACAATGTGTTTTTTTTTTCATTTTAGTGAAATCAAATCATCAATAATAAACATGATACACGAAACGTACCTTTATAAAGAATCACTAAATTCTCAAAATGACAGTTTAGAAATAATCGAAAATCGTATTCCAAAAGGCGTTATCATTCTTAAAGATAAAAATGAAGTAAATTTTTTTCATCTATTGATGTTAATTTTAATTTCTGGCAATTCTACTATCGTGATAGATGATCCAAATTCTTATAGTTTGGTGCGGTATTGCGAAATATTTTCGGTATATCTACCATCAGGCGTTCTGAATTATTTATCGAATGAAGATACAAGTAATATAGAAATAGAGTTATGTTGGACAGATTACGAAAATTATAAAAACCAGATTTTTGTAGAATCAAATTTTCAGAAGACATTTTTGAACCTTACTGTGCCTAAACAAATTATACTCACTCTCAAATAGTTTCAATAATTTATAAACAGCATGATTATGTTTGACAAGTATATAGGGTCCACTTAAATCAAACACTTTGAATATTTCTTTTTGATGATATGAAAACAGATGAAAATAAAACGGTTTCGAGAGGAACGTATTTTGATCACGTTATTTTTAAAATATGGGTCTTCCTCGAAATTTTTCCCATTTTCATTTTCATTTGAAACATTTTTTTTGTATCATCAAAAATAAATGAAATATTCAAGGTATTCGATTTAAGTAAACCACTCTGTAGAAAGTACATACGTAAAAAAGATAAATATTTAATACATTATAAAGATGTATTTATCTTAACTGAATAATTTTAGAACAATTCTTTATCATATTCATTAATCGATTCTCTCCAATGAAAAACTGAAAAAATTAGATGATATAACATGCACATTACAAATCTTGATTTTATGCTATGACGAATATTTTAAGAAAGGAATAAGAAGGTTTAAGAATGTTCCGTTCTTTTTACTTTTGTATGTACAAATATCTGTAATGCTTGACTGTGAGGTTATCATATGCACAACGTATGCACACATGAAAATATATGACGTTCTTGAGAATTAGATAGTATTAGATAATATTTTTATATAAAGTAACTCGTACTTTGCACTTTTGTATCAGCAATTAAGCAAATAAAAAAAAATATAGAAAATATAGAAAATAGTTTTTATTTATTTTTCCTTGATCTCTTCGCTAGCTATATTGTATATGTTTCCAATTACATTCGTTATAAATCAATTTCATTTGAACATTTTCAGTTGAATGTAAAAAATCTGATATATAGCGCGGTAAATAAAATAACATTATCGTCAAATAATGCAGAATCTCAAAATAATATTTATTCATTTATTTATTTATCAAGGATAATATATTTATATTACAGATTAACAAACATTGTAAACATTATACTCCACATACTTCTATCGTAGTATAGGCCACATTTAGAAATATATCGGAACAAAAACTGTTATTATTTTTCATAATCTACAGGAAAATACAAACAAATGTATACTTGTGATTCGCAAATTACAATACATCCTAAATATGGCCATTATAATCTTATATAAACATGTATTTATAGAAAAGAATATCTCGAATTGAATTTCGGCATTTCGATAATTTAACGTCGAAATATTTAAACTTCACCATTCAACAATTTCTTATCGAATAAGAATTCTCCCAAAGGTCCATGTGTTTGCATCATTTTGCCCAATGTTGAGATTTTGCCGGCGAGGTCGCGCTGACCTTTATATTGTTCTTCCAAGAAATCAGTAGTGAGGTAGTCCACCAACTGCAAAATATTGTGACATGATAGTAAATATAGTATTTGGTAAAATATAGTATAAATCATTATTTTCAAGCAATACTTACGTGGTAATCGTTGAAAGAAGATGTTTTTGGAGTTTCACAGACAATAGATTATATCACGAATGCTGCGCGTAACTTGCGTCTCCAATTTTAAAGCATCAGTGAGAGCTTCTTCTCCATTGTTCCATTCTTGGCGTATTGGATTTGTATTGTTGCTAGTCTGTTACGACATAAGAAAAAATGCATTACTATTATTTACATCCTTTTTTCCTTTTTAAATTTGTGTCTTCATAAAAAAAAATCTTCATTCGCTATTCCAATTCGTTTGTGTAGTTTGAGTAAAAAGTGAAATACTTACCAAAGGATATTTGAGAAGTTTGCTAACGTCATTTGTAAGTTGTCCGCGCATTAGCAAATATTCGATGATCTTTATCGCATGCTCTCTCTCTTCGCTCGCGCTTTCAAAAAAGAACTTGCTAAAGCCTGGGCGATTTATGACATCACGTGCAAAGTGAGCGCCCTAATAAAATGAAAAATTTTGATAATAAGAAAATGTCATCTATCTATTCACACATTCATTTGACAAACATATATATATATGTGTGTGTGTGTGTGTGTGTGTGTGTGTGTGTGTGTGTAGTATACAGATTACATATTGGATAAAAAGATATATATGCAAACGAGTTAGAATCTATCTATACCATCGCAAGATATTTCATGGCAGCTTCCATCTCGGTCTTTACTTGAGCCTCCATAAGTTTTATGCAAGGATCGGCCATGTCTATCCATGATGTTGGGATGTCAGCAGGTTTAAGCGTACCTGAAAGATGTGAGATAAAATAATTAATTTAGTAGTTAATATATTATTGCATGTATATTGCATAGAGAACAACCATATATATTTAATTTATTATTACAATTACTATCTATGATAAAATTTCCACCGTATTGTGTAATAACCCATTTCTTAAATAGATAACAGGAACATGTATTATTTTATCAATATGTTATCAAAAAAGATCAATATTTTATCAATGCGTGACTGATCGCTCGTAGTATTGATAGCATCTGTATAGCATCTTTATAGATAAAATTATTCGACATTAAGAATAATCTCATTATAGAACGAGTATAAGATTCTGCTTACTTGAATCATTTCTACTTTTTATTTGCAGCAACACATTGAAAAAAATACATAACATTATTTTGTAAATTATTCTTAATGCATAAATTATATAAATTAATTATTGAATAGAACGTAATACTTTGTTACAATGTATATTAAATCTGTTTGGTAGAATACATGAGTGGATCAGAATAATCATCATTTATCAAACTGGCTTGTATCACTCATGGACATAGAAATAGATGTATGGAATGAGTCATACAAATGGAAAGGACTTTGGAATTGGTATGTATATTGGTATGTATATATCATTCAACTTATCACTGAAACCTATCTTTGGTCAAAACAAGATGGCCAATGACAAAGAGAATTAATTTACTGTAGACAAGATATACGAGTAAGTACGTGCGATAAGCATTAATTATATTTGATACAACTAATCTTTTACGTGACTACTAAAGGAGACGTCTTTTCTAGAAATAGAATCTTGAAAGAATTAACATGATAAAAATATATTTTATTAATTTTCCTTATGCAGACAACATGAAGCAGAAATATCATATTTTATTTAAATGGCCCGTTTTGTTATTTTCCGTTTCGAATCGCGCATTAAGCTGAATGTGATATTTCAAATCTCTGTTCATGTGTAAGGTATACATAAATATAGATATAGACGAGAGAACAAAGCTATGGAAACTGCGTATTCGAGTGACTGTACATTCTCATCATCGCTGATAATTGTTGACTCAATTTCTCTAAACTGATTTCCTCTAACGACTCTAGTTATTATTCACATTTGTACTATGTAAAGCGATAATACTGTATCAGGTCATAAAAATAGGATTTGATAAAATGATGCCATCCATACATAAAAATGATAGATAGGACTATAGAGAAAATACTGGAAATATTATCTTGATGTACGCATATATGTCATAAAGATGAAACGCATTAGCTTGTTGGTTAACTTTTGTTGTTAACTTTTGGAAAGAATAACTATGACTATTAATGATCATTTCTACTAATATAGATTAATTTTAAACTCAGTTTAATTTACTTTTTTAGTGTTAAAAATTAGAAAAAGATACAGAATAAATTAAATCAAAATTATAATTAATAAACATTGATAAAAATAAACATAATTTATCATCGATACATTTGTACCTATTTTGAGTCTAATTTGTTGTAATTTGTTGCAAAGATGCTTTAAACAGCAGTATCAGCTATTGCAATCGTATATGATTCATACATATATAACGAAGAAATTTTGATTGTATGTGCAATCTAATATACGATTCGTTTAAATGCGTCATAGATGATAATTTCATCATTTCCTTCATTCCATTTTAACAAAGCTCAATACAAATAATGAAAATATCAGAAAGATATTCTTGGGACAATAACCATCATATTTTGTCTCTAACAAGGAAAGATGACATAATAATATGCATTTGAGAAAGTAAAAATTGCGATGTCAATGTTTTACGTAGCTTGGCATACCTAAAAATAAAGTTTTTGTTAAACGGCTTAAAATAAAAGCAATATTTCATACATCGAAAACGTCTGTACATTATCGATCACATTATTGGAACAAGTTTCACGTGATAAACACGATGTTTTCGTGATGAAACATTTTGACGATCTAATATTATTGTTTTTTTATATACACAAATACAAGTTATCATATAGAAATAAACATCGAAGGTAGTAATGGACAACGTACTGATTCAACAAACAGAATTAGCCTAATTGCGCATGGATATTCGAACCGACCAATCGAAATTGAAGAAGCTCAGACGACATTCAAAGGTCTGATTGCTCAATCAAAACAACTATTGCGTTTACATCCTACTTTATGCG